TCCTCGAGCCGTTGCTGCACAGTTGAAAACATAACAACGACAAACTACTAGAGATGCAAGAACACATACAGAAGCGTTCATGAGCGTGTGTGAGGCGCTTCAGAGATTCACGCAAATCTAGTTTAAAAGAGCGCATTTTTAATCGCTCATAACTTATGGAGAGTTATAGTGAAACCAGTGCATTTGTTCGGCTGAACGAGTACGCTAGTGTTTGCGTGGAAACGGAGGTATATTGAGTAATGTAAGAATGCATGCACTTACGCTAATGGTGCATTTGAACTTGAAAGGAGGCCCCTCGAGGAAAGTGGTGCAGTTGTCGTCACTGCCGGTCACCAGACGATACGGCCGCGTCTGCTTGATGTCCACGCTGTTGATGATCTTACTGTGACCCACGATCTCTCCGACCGACGAGCCCGAATCCCAGAGGAAAACCGCGCCAAACCTGCGCAGACACACACATCAGCAGCGCTGGGGAAGTTACTTTTAAAAGTGATGCGTTACAATGTTGCGTTACTCCCTAAAAAAAGTAACTAATTACGTTACTTAGTTACATTTTATGGAAAGTAATGCGTTACGTTACATTTGAGTTACTCTTTAAATCTGGGCGGGGCTTGCTTGTTTGTTTTTAACATAAAAAGTTCTTCTTTTACAAACGTAAAGCCCTTTCACACCAAAAGTGAAGTGAATGCGCCTCAGGCTGAAGGAAATGTAAATTCACGTCTGTACAGTAGAGGGCGCCGCTCAAACTAATCACAGGAGAAGCAAGTTCAACACTATTCAGCAATAACTAAAATTATACACAAATGTGTTATGTTTGATTATTATTATGGTTGAAGTGGATCATCGAAGCTCAGTAACGAAGACATTGGTTAATAAAATGGGATTAAATACATAAATGATATTTGTCTTATTTAACATATTTAATTATTGCAGGTTTGTATAATATTCTGAGTTTGCATTTCACCGTTTTTATTGATTTTGAGAAACACTGAATGTGTTTTTGAGTAAACATGTTGATATTTAGTCTAGAACTACAGTAAGATCATGTTCACACACAACGCTCTGCACTTACTCCTGATTTCTGTCACCATGGCAACACCTGAGCTGTCACTCAACACATGGAAACAAAGTAACTGCTGTTACTTATTTGAAAAAGTGACTCAGATATTTCCTTCTAAATTAAAAAGTAATGCGTTACTTTACTAGTTACTTAAAAAAAAAAAAAAAGTAATCTGATTATGTAACTCTCGTTACTTGTAATTAGGGTTGGGTATCGTTTGAATTTTATCAATTCTAATTCCGATTCCGACTTTGCTTATTGATTCCCAATTTCGATTCCAACATTCCAAGTCAAACATTTAAATATCAAACATTTATTCTGTGTCTCTGTTTGCAAAACATTTAATTGCTGCTGAATACCATGAACAAAAATCAATTAAGACTCGATTAAGAGCTGTTTGTGTGTAATATAGAGCTGCATGATTCTGGATACATTGAGATCTTTGTTTTTTTTTTTTTTTTTTTTTTTAAATGGAGGTTGTAGTTCTCTCACAATTCTGAAGAAAATATTAGACAGCTAAACAAAATCTCATGGAATTTGTGAATGGAATGATTCAAAGACTCACTCAAGATTTACTTGTTTCATTCAGTGTTTTTGAATGAATCTCTTGAATGAATGATTCAAAGACGAATACATTTTTAACAGACCCTTTTCGGCAAAAAAAAAAAAGATGCGCACACAGGCATCGACAGGTGGAATTGAAATTTTAATTTTAAAACAAGTATCCGATTCCTGTCCTTAAGTATCTGATTCTGGAATTGGAATTGATTTTCGATTCCCAACCCTACTTGTAATGCATTACTCCCAACACTGCTGAGGACAGGGGCGTGGCCTGCCACAGTGGGCGTGGCCTGCGGCTGTCACTCACTTCTCTCGCCCCTCCCCCACCACGGCGATCCTCTTGCTGTCCTCGGTCCAGGCGATGTCCTTGATCTTCCCTCCGAAGGGCTGGTACTCGTACTTCAGCAGGTGCTCCTTCTGCGTCGTGTCCCAGATACGGATCTTCCCCGACACATCTGCGCAGAGAGAGACACACTCAAGAACGGCAGGAACACACGGAGCGGATCTCAGACGGAGCGGCACTCACCGCCCGACGCGATGTAGAATCCGCTGGGAGAGTATTTGGCCACGATAACCTGATGAGGATGCTCGGTGTAGACGTCTGCGATCGCTGGGTTCTGGAGCAGAGAGAGAGTGTTTAAATGTGAATACTGTTAAAGCCACAATCAATGATCAGTGAGAAAATACACAGTATAAACACCAGTAACTGTCGTATAACCAGACACTAATGGATTCAAAGCATGGTCACTCACTCTATACATGCAAGAACACCAGAAACACACATCAGCAATGATGCATTCAAGTCGAATCACAAAGATCGCATTTATGAGTTGAATGAACATGAATGCACCAAATTATGAACGGGAAACATTTAGCCTAAAATTTCCCTTAGGTTCAGTGTATGTCAGTGTGAAAACAAGCTGGATGCAGTGTCTGTATTGACACTAAATTTGTTAAAATGAATACAAAAAAATAGCATTTGCAATGAACTAATTTGCATGTACAACTACAATAGAATTTAGCCCTAATTCAGCGTCTGTACTGATGCGTTACGATAAACGTAATTCTTCCTTGTTTTTTTTTTTTTACAAACAGAACAATTTTTAAAAACATTTTTTGTCTTTCATCACTGAACCCCAGATATTCCTTGCGTCTCACCTCGATGTTCCTGATGATCACGCTCTTGCCGTTGGTGTACAGGAAGTTGTTCCCTTTGGGGTCTCCGCCCAGGACCTTGGCCACGCCCCTTTCCATGTGCGGAAGGCTGGCGAACACGCTCTCTGCGGGAGGAGAAAAAAGTTACAATTCTTAAGATGAATTCTAAAGGTCTTTGCACACAGAGTCCGAAATTTTTGTCCAAAATTGTCGCACGTTAAAAAAAAAAAAAAAAGACCTCACGTGTCAATCACGTTTACACACTGCCTCCAAAATTTTCGTCCGTCACAAAAAAATTGAGATCGGGTTCGATTTTCTGCATTTTTTCACATCTGTAGCAAGCATTTTCGCTCAGTGTGCAAGGTTTCTGTGCGTGACGATGATGAATACGAAAAAACGCATACGATCATTTCGGAGTCATTGCGCAAAGACCTTCAGAGGTTCGTAGGAACGTGCGATTCTTGAAAAATTCTTAAAAAGTACTGAAAAAGTAGCTGCTTGAATATTTTTCAGTAGTGTTAAAGCTGCAGTCTGCAAGTTTTGCCTCTTTGTCGCCATCTCTGTTTGAAAACCTGGAATTGCAGCTGTGTGCGGAGTTATCTTCCGTGCGTGGGGTTGTGCGGCGGCTCGGCTCCAGCGCGGATGAATCTAATGTTCTGAAGAGTATGTGTGTGTGTGTGTGGCAGTCAGTCACTGCACCGGTGGATATTTACTGTACTTCACAAGCACAGATTCTAGCCTACGTCTTGGAATATATGACCCAAATAAGAATTTTCACCGGATATTGTCATCTGAACAAGTAAGTAACAAGTCTGCCACGTTTGTTCTCACCAACTGAGGAAAAAAGCATTAAAATAAATTGTGCTACCAATGGTGATCGATAGTAAAATCGAAGGTAAAGATCGGTTAGCTCATATCACATCAAACCGTGCAAATTATTATTATTGTTATACTTTATTCTCAAATTATTAATGTTAACAACATCAGCATTGCGTGACTATGTGAATATAGTGTGTATTAGCGTGTAGATTTCAGTTTCTGCACAGTCTAATCTCTAATTGTGATACTCTTCGAATTTCATTAAGAAATTCTTTTAACCCAAAAAGCAAATTATGCTCCCTTCTAACTGGTTTTCTTTAAAATACTAATCTTGTGTAATCCAAGGCTATCTGTAATCAGCTGCACATTTATAACTGGAATATAATTTAATTTCAGTCACATTTGTTTCATAAACACATAATCCTAAATCCTTTTTGGATCACAATCCGCCATCAAAATGATATATTGAATTATTCCGGCTGCTGTGAGAAAAGGCTATAAAGGATCCGCCAGCTGCAGGATCCTCACATGCGATAGTCTAGCAGCCGGGACTACTTCTTCATGTTTACAGACGTGACGTAATGACGCGGCAGCATGCTCGAATTTCCCACGAAAACCTACCTGTATCACTCAAACTAGAAAACATTATTATAAGCCAACCGTTGTGAATCAGCTAAAGTAAGGCGATAGTTTCGAACACTGGCTGGTTATGTGCTTGCTCATTTTTGGATCACAATCCGCCATCAAAATGATATATTGAATTATTCCGGCTGCTGTGAGAAAAGGCTATAAAGGATCCGCCAGCTGCAGGATCCTCACATGCGATAGTCTAGCAGCCGGGACTACTTCTTCATGTTTACAGACGTGACGTAATGACGCGGCAGCATGCTCGAATTTCCCACGAAAACCTACCTGTATCACTCAAACTAGAAAACATTATTATAAGCTAACCGTTGTGAATCAGCTAAAGTAAGGCGACAGTTTCGAACACTGGCTGGTTATGTGCTTGCTCAAATATTGATTTCAGATCATTTTTAACCCCAAAAAAGTTACGGACTGCAGCTTTAACAAATCATGTACAATACTGACAAATCTTAACGATAAATAAACCTTTTTTTTTTATTCTTGTAATCATTTTTCCCAATGATAAAGCATCAGTTATTTTCATTTAACAACATTAACCATCATATCCTGGAAAATATTTGGTTAAGGAAGGAAAATGACAAGAAACAAAAACAAGCAGTTTAGCAAAGTAATCTCAGGATTCTTAATAATGACAATATGACACAAATGCACAGACGTGCACGGGAAAGTTTATGCACAGTTGCTAAATACACACATTATATGCAAGTTTCACAGTTTCATAATGCTTAATATTTGAAACATCCCAATTAATTCATGTTTGTTCCTCTTTTGTAAGTTGCTGTGCTTAAACGCTAAATGCATAGATATAAATAAATGTAAAGTGAATTATATAATAATTAAGGATTTAAGAGAACGTTTATTGTTTCATAACACAAAATATTAAGAAAAAAAGATAAGAACGTTATTAGGAAGTATTTTAGGGAATACAAAATCGTATTAATTATTTAGAAAAATACAAATTTTATGGGGTAAGGTGGGGTATGTATTTTTTCAAAAACGCTTTAGAAAACTGAGTCGGGGCGAGTACCAAAACGAACTTGTAGCCAATCAGCAGTAGGGTTGGGTATCGAAACCCGGTACCAATATGGCGGGGCGTGTTTGTTTTGGTGATTTTAAATATCAACATTGGCTACCAGAAATCACTTACCCCACTTTAATGTTGTGTGAATCTGGCCCCAACAGAGCTGCAAAAAAATAACGACCGTTTTTCAAACCCACCCCTGTCTGCCATTGGTCAGTCAAAAGGATAGTCCCGCCCCCAATGCACGCCATTGGCCAAATCAGTGTCAGACTGATAATGATGCTCAAACTCACTGATCAGTGTTTGGACCACAATCACAGTTTCGCACTCTTCAAAAACTTTTTACATAGACTTAGTCACTACTGTGTACATACTATTGTAAAAATACAAACTTTAAGCATTCACAAAAACCTCCCATTACAACACCACGCTTCTGGACATGAATAATGGTATTACCATGGTATTTGTTTAAGTACCATGATATGCTTCAGTAAATGATCCGAGCAGAGTGAACGAGGC